GAAAAGCCGGGCCCCGCCAGCCCGCCCCCCGCCGCCCCAGCTCCAGCCTTCCCTCCTAGGCTCCGACCCGGCCCCCTCCGGGATGCTGCTGCCCCGTCCGGTGCCCCTTGCGCCCCACAGGGCGCTCCTCAAGCCTGGCCCCGCACAGCCCGGGACCGCGCGCTCGCTCTGAGGTGCGGTGAGAACAGCTGGCTCGGAGCCCCCCTACCTGGCGGCCGCTCCCCGCTCTCCACAGCAGGCTCTCGCCAGCACCGAGTCCCTCTGGCCCCTGCACTTTTTTGGACAGCCAGCGTATGTTTTCCGTCAAGGCGACATCACTTCCCGTAAGCCCGAGCGAGGGGCGGTCACTGCCCCTCCCTTCGCTGCCGGGCCGCCCCGGGCATCCCTGGCGGGGGGGAAGGGGGGAGCGCTAGTCACGCGTGGCCGGTGAGCGCTGAGGCAAGCTCCTCAGAGGCGCAGCCAGGCCCTGGAAGGGTGAGGGGGCGGAGGAGAGCGCCAGCCTAAGCGGCCCCTGCACAGTAAGGGCTCAGCGTCGGGGCTGGTTACACTAGGGCAGCGATTATCTATTTTATTTGGCCTTTTAAACTTGAAATTTTTTTGCAGAACCCCTAATAACAGTCATATATGGAGCTGAAAAAGTAGATCACAAAGAAGTAAGGATAATAAACAAATGCTAAACAATCTTACGACATGTAGACTAATCTATCATACTCAATTTATATTGGTCATGGTTAAATTTTTAAAAACAAGAAATCAAGCACTATACTGAAGTAAAGTATTCAGGCTCGCACTGCCTGCACTCCCATACAAGCAACTGGTTTGAAAGCTGAAGCTTCCACTTTGTCAGATGCGGTGCTAGTATTTTTGTACTCAGTTACCCACATGATCCACGCTCCCTGAGAGTGAATACGGGGATTTATGGTGGTATATAGCAGGTGATTGCACCACTGACTGGCTACACGTGCAGCACTGAGTAGTGACATTATCGTCCCCAATCTCTGGTTAAGCTGGCATTACACAGGGACACTTATCGGGGCAAACAAATGAAAATTGTTTTCAATAAAATTCATAAATGCTTAAATATTATTTTAATCATAAAATATTCTTATAGAATCCTTATTTTCACGTCACATAACCATGAGGTTCCACAGAACACCATTTGGGAAACACTGCACTAGGGGCAGCGGGCGCGCAGCGGCAGGGCTTGCCCTACCTCTCAGCTAAGATGGCTACAGCTCCTTCCCCAAAGCACATTTATAAGAAAGACATCATAAGTGCTGCCACTGTTCCTGCCTCCAAGCAGATTCCATTATGTGCAGGGGTTTCTGTTTGCTCACAACTTTCCACACCTCCACCCATTATAAAAATTGTTGTAGCATCCCTGCATCAAGTTGAACTCCTCCCCCACAATTTCTCTTTTCTACCTACCTGTTTAGCTCTTTTTGAAAGCAACTTACTTGAGTGTGAGGTAGAATGCTCATTACAAAGAGAAAGTGGGTTGCCAGGGGCAAATACCAAATGAATTATGGGCAAGAAGTGATAACTGCCAGCATTCTGAATTTTTGCTACCCCCTGGTGGCTGTTTTCCTTTTTTAAAACACCCCTCCCTCCCCCCCCTTCTCGCTACACCAGTGGTTTCCAACCTTTTTACACACAAGAACACTTTTTGAATTTAAGTGCAATCTAAGATCTACCTCAAACCCAAATATCCTTGCCCCCCCTTCCTTTGTGCTCCTTCTCCCACTTCTCTCTGAGGCCCAGCCCCTGCTCACTCCATCCTCCTCCCTCCCAACACTCACTTTCATCAGGCAGGGCAGTGGATTGGGGTGCAGGCTCTGGTCTTGGATTAAGGGATTTGGAGTGTGAAAGGGGCTCTGAGCTGAGCTTGGGGCAGGCAGTTGGGGTGCCAGAGGGAGTTCTAGGTGCAGGCTCTGGTAGGGTGTTTGGATGCAAGGGGCTCAGGGCTAGGGCAAGAGGGGATTCATGACTTGGGTAGGGGTTCAGGATGTGGACTCCAGCTGGGCACTGCTTACCTCAGGTGGCTCCTGGGTAATGGCACAGTGGGGCTAACACAGGCTCACCCCTGCCCTGGCCCTGCACCACTCCCAGCAGCAGCCAGCAAACTTGCTTTATCCCCAGTCCTGTTGTGCCCCCTCTCACTCTTCCAACTTGAAAGCATGATATGCTGCTGCTTTTTCACTCATATATATGAAAGCATGCATACATTGAAACAAAATTGATTTGGAAAGTTGCTATGGCATGGCCTACTAAACTAAGTGATTCAATCTCAGTTCCATTTCTGGCTCGTTCACCTGTAACACACTCCACCTAACTAAGGCTAACACCACATCTCTTAAATTTTGTGCTTAAGTAGTTTCCAAAGAGTGACCTATTGGACTGCAACATTGACTCTAAGATCCCCATCAAATAGAACATTTAGAATCAAAAGTGGACAAGACATTAAGAAATAGATGGTAGGGACCAATCTTGTATTGAAGGCAAGGGCCAGACTAAGCACACTAACTACGACCAAATCACTTAACATTTACTATCTAATCTTCACCATTCCCTGTGAGAAGTTAGGTAGGCATCATCCCCACTTTAGTAACAATGAAACTGAGATACAGAGAAGATACTTGCACCCCTCATCCCAAAAATACATTGAAAGTTAAGGTTAGATTTGACAATAGAACTTAGCAATCACTGACCCTTTCAGCCTTCTACTTGCACAGTTAGACAGCATCTCTCCCTACAAGGCACTCATCTTGTTTAACAGTATGGAGTTTATTCACTTTTAGATCACACAATCCATTCTCAGATCTCATGCTACAGGTATGCTCTTTAATCCCTATGGGTTGGGGCTAAGGTCAGAGTGACAAACCTAATTCTGAATATGCATACAACTAGAAACCTATCATTTTAAGAGGAAAAAAAGTGTCAGTGGAATCAAATGCAGTTAGGTGAATGTGTGTACAATTAGCCACTTTAAAAAACACTGCTTGTTTACATTAATTAAAAAGCATAGTATTTATTCTTCACCGAAACAAACCAATTCCATTTGGAATAGAATGCTATAATTTTATCTCAGAATGGAAGTAGTGTCCAAGCCAGTATTACCGAGAAGCTCCACGTAATTCCTGCAATTCTTTCTTCTCTCCTAGTTCTGGTGCTTGTGGGTTGTCTTTTAATTTATTCTGGTTTCTGTTATATTGTTCAAATATTGGTTTATAGATGTAGACTCCTCCGGCAACTCCAAGAAGAGCCCCCAGAAAGATATAAGGCGTTTTACCATACATGTTGACAGCTAAAGCTGTAACTTGACAAACTTGTCTTCAAAGAAATTCTAAAGACATCTGAGTAGCCAAACAAAATCTTCAGATCTGTATATAAATGAAAGTAAATGTAAAATGTTACTAATATTTGTTATAGTGCAAAAAGAATTTAGTATGGGCAAGTAGCTATCACAGCCCAGTAACCATGATTAACAGTTGATGCTCAGTTACTGATGGCAAGATAGAAGTCCAGTTATCTTGTAAACAAAATGCTTTGCATTGGTTTGGTTACATGGAAGAAGTGGAGTACATACTCTGTACTGTATAAAACAAGGTTCAGGATTTTGGAGGTCTTTTTCCTTTCTCTCCAGTACAAGATGCAAAGTTTTATGAGAACTAGTTCCAATATGACCCTGTAGAGCACATTTGCCTGGAAGCTTTTCCCTTTGATATTTACATACCCTCTGCTTTTTGTTTCCTGCCCCCTTCCATTTTTTCCTTCCCCTCTCTCCCTTCTCCCCTATTTATTTTGAGTCTGGACAGCCTAACCTCAAAACTCCAGTCATCTGAAGAAGTGGCCTGTGCCCACGAAAGCTCATAATACCATCTACAGGTTTTGTTAGTCTGTAAAGTCTATTTGTAGTTTTGTAAGTTTATCCTGTACAGACTAAGTTAGCTACCCCGTGAAGCTTTTCAGCAGCGATACTGGGGCTGTCCATTCTGTAAAGCAGCGCCGCTGCTCTGAGCCCCGATAGTGCCTCCCACGTGCTACTTGAAAGCCGTTAGTAGCCCCGCGGCGGGTTTAAGCTGCGGGCCGCTACCCAGGCAGGGCAGGCAGCAGAGAACCGTGCTCCGGAACTCCGCGGTCACCGAGAGCAGAACGAGGAGCTTCCCGCCAGGAGAAGCTTCGGGAACGGGAACAAGGGAGAACTAGGGTGCGCCCCGCCCCCAGGTCTGAGCCCAGCGGCTTCCCAGTCCCGCCACCCCGCAGCGCTCATGGGGGCGGGGAGGGCAAGGCATAGCGAACAGCGAACAGACACCCCCTAGGCCCCAGATCGCCAGGCAGAGGCCTGAAGGTAGGAAGCGACAGGAAAAACTTCGGGGACATCCGCCCCCGTCTCTCCGCGCCCAGCCCAGCCAACCCCTCCTACCGTGAAGCAGCGCGCCGCCTTGACCGCCCCTTACGAACCGATTAAACCAGAGAGTTGAGACGTCCAACGAGACTAGACAAGCTGCCGGAAGTACATAACCCCGCCCGGAGAGACATTCTGTCGCTCACTGCCATTGACTTTTATCCCCAGCGTCCGCCCCAATAGTCTTCTGCACATGCGCTCAGCCGGGCCCCGGAGCTCTGGCTCCTCCCAATGCGGAAGTGAGAGCGGTCCTGCCCAGCGGTGCCACCGGCCTTGGAGCGAAGTCCGACATAGACAAGCTGCCGGAAGTACATAACCCCGCCCGGAGAGACATTCTGTCGCTCACTGCCATTGACTTTTATCCCCAGCGTCCGCCCCAATAGTCTTCTGCACATGCGCTCAGCCGGGCCCCGGAGCTCTGGCTCCTCCCAATGCGGAAGTGAGAGCGGTCCTGCCCAGCGGTGCCACCGGCCTTGGAGCGAAGTCCGACATGGAGGCGGCGGGGGGCGGGGTCTTTGGCCCGCGGGGGGC